GACAGTGCCCCAATGTCGAACGCGCTTCTATTCGGAGGAAGGAGCGCCTGCGCAGCAACTCGAGATCGATGATGCGTCGCCGTCTCGAACACAAGCAACGAGAAAGCACACCTTACCATTCCCCCCGTTGCCATGCGGCTACGGCCGCGCATGAAAAACGAGCTTATCCCCCCCCCTGTCTGTGCGCTCCGTCCTCTCGAGGACGCGTGGTCAATGGTCTAACCACTACAAGGCATGCCAAAGCACAAGAGTACAGCACACCCCTCTCCGTGTCAAGCTTTTTCATACCTGAACGTGGCGACGCTTTCTGGGGTGCCCTCTGGCGCGGCGAACGGCGCCCTTGGGATCTTGCCCTTGGGAAGATCTCGTTGGTCGAGGGGGAACAAGCGGGCGAACTTGTAGCTCTCCGCCGCGACGTAGAAGGGGACGTTGTAAGCCTTCGCCAGTACCGCCATCTGAAACGTCCCAACCTGTGGTTGTTGTGTGGCGTGGAGTGGTATATATTTCAGGAAAGAAGGAAACGCCATCCTTGGTCAGGTGGAGAGGTTCATGCATCGCGAACATATTTAGTAAGCCACGCAGACGGCGCTCATGTCGTTCTCCGCCAAACGTTCTTCTGTCCCTACCCTCACCGTCGGGAAGGAACCTTCCAACTTTTGCGTCTTCCGCTGCAACATGCAACATACTCGGGAGACGATTCATGCCGCGGATCCAGGCGGCTAGCGCTTGCTAGAACGTGCCTGCTATCCAACACCACAACGAGCCGCACGGGCATGTGGCTGTTGGACCCGTTCCGATCGACCTTGTCACCCATGTCCCCCCCTTCCTCTTTGACGGGCAACCTCCGCCCCCGTTCCCGCCACACGACAACGTCACAACCTTCATGTAACCTGAACCCTTTTGCGGCGGCGAAACGCCATACTCGACAACAACACCAAGAGGTTGATAAACACCCGATATGGCTATTTTGGGTGCGACGGTCCACCGCACACAGGAGGACGACTTGCACATACACATGCCCCAAAAAACACCTCAAAGACAACCACCACACGAAGCAGCGCCCCACCTTGTTGACGATTCCCCCGTTCTCCAGCACCCCCTCCGCGCCCGTCACGCACAAGTCCGCCATCTCCATGTGGTACCCCACAGCGGAGTCCAAGACCACCGTCACGGGGACCCCAACTTTCGAGAGCGCGGCGGCGGCCTTGAACCCCGCCCCGTCCGGCCTCCCCTCCCGCAACGAGCACGCTAAAGTGCTGCGCGGCGACAAAGTAAACCGTTTACAGTGCAGTTGGGGGGGAAGGTGTACTCATAGTCGTACATGCCGTAGTCGTTAGACCATTGACCTTGCATCCCTACCAAGCCGGGATGGAGCACGCCGGGTTCTCACCGGACCAGGCTCTCACATCACCAAGCGTGAAGCACCGTGAGGTATTCGGCGAGTCGCATGAAGGGTGCGCTGCATCCTGCTAAGGGTGTTCGGCATCTTGTGCTTACTTTCTTTCGTACGGATGACAGCTGCGTATGTCTTAATTTATTTTCTGGTGCTTTCACTTCCAGAGACAGTTATAAGCATACATTTAACAGCCTCGAGGGTGCTTGACCAATTTAACACAACGTGGTGCGATCATCCCCTTTGCGCGGAGTGAGTGTTCTCGACCCCGCACGACATGATCTACTCGGCCACCATCATGATTACCGCGAAAAAAAAAATAGAGTAAAAAACAAACGCGGTAACCTGGTTGCCGAGCCCACGAAATGAGGCTTGATTTACAACGTCGTTGCCAAGCAACGAAAACCCAACTCCGATGACAAACACCGGGGGGGGGGGGGGCTGTTTAGTGCCGGTTGAATAGTGCCGGTTCGCGGAATAGTGCCGGTTCGCGGAATAGTGCCGGTTTGTTCGCGTGGCACACACTGAATGACTCACCAAGCCATTCAGTACTTCGAATAGTGCCCGTGTCCGGTGTAGTGCTGGCAAATGCTCTGGTCACATACCGCCACTAAACAGCCGCCCCCAAGAGAAATGCGCAATCGTGTGTGCGTGCGTGTGTGTGTTTCGCGGAAGCCGCGGCGGCGGCGGTGGTGGTAGAAATGGGTGCGTGTGAGTGGCACAGAGAGCTAGCTACCTAGGTGGGACGCACGAAGATTGCGTGGAACCCCTGGTGCGATGTCATGGCCTGGCATGCGGGGTTGATCGCTCTCACTTGCCAATGGTGTCTCACACGTCTTGTCTCCGGAGGTAGGGATTTCCGCCAGAAGCCATGCCGAGCAGAGTGGACTGGCCTAGATGTTCCTCACCACGATTCCCCCGGCAGGAGGCAGCCAAGGGCACTCCACAACCCACGCGTAACCCAAGTCGATGCACCACCTCCCCACAGCAAACAATAAGACAACATTGCCTTATCTGGGCTCATTCCCTCTCTGCTATCTGACAACAGAACGTGCTGTGTGGTTTGTGTGTTCAGCCAGTCACACCTTTGTTTCCGCGGCCATGAGCAAAAGATGGAGAGCACACCGCGAGTAGCCGTGCGTCAACACCACCGTCCCGTCCCTAACGAAGTTGTGCCCCAGGCGCGCGATCTGTTCTCGACTGGTCTCGGAAACTTCCGCGAATCGCTCCCCCCTGGTTCGGACGGAAAAACACCAGCGGTGGGCGGGATTGTTGCCGTGGTTGGTGGCGGTGGTAATGGCTTTGGCTAGGGGTCCAGGAGAGTGAAGCCCGGAAACCCGGAAAACAGTTTCCGTCATGGGATTGAGAAAAGTGAACGGATTGGGTCCATGTGTGCTATCGTTGTTGTTTCTAACTAACGGGTGTCGGCGCAGGGGTCCACGTACCCGCGTAACGTGTCTTGGAGCAGACGGCAACATTGCCTCTTTGTCCCCGCCCCAAGGAAACTGATGCTTGGCGCACACCGCACGTTGTTGCCTTCCCTTGCGACTGGCGCACAGATACTGCATACCATAGACACGTAAACAAACAAAATCTGCACGTGGCGTTCGAAACATTAGTATATACATATCATCTCGTCTACGAAGCCCTCGGTTCGCTCTATCTCTTCACCTGTGCAACAACTGCTGCTTGCAGGACTCGTCGAAGCCCTCCTCCCCGACCGACTCGGCGACGAAGCGAGATACGTGTCGGAGGAAAAGCTGGCACCCGCTGGTCAGCGATATCGTGCTCCTGGGGCAACAACGGTAGAGGAGGTGGTCGCGTGCGGTTGAGTTGGATCGGAAAGGGGGTCTAAATGGTATACGCGTCTACTATAGATATGCGGGTGCAGCAATTTGCGTGGGCGCTGGGAAAGCGAGAGACGCATCTACAGCGTATATTTTGTAGATACTTCTCTCCGTTCTGAGCGCCCACACAATTTCGGTTGACCCCATGCTGTTCGTTTGCGTTTGTATGAATGGGATGGAAAAAGCTATACATAGCTCCGAAGTGGCGTGCCCGTGGGTGTTGGAGGACGGCGGCGAGGGCCTCGTGTTTTGGGTGACGTTGTCTTGTAAGCCCCCGCTACTTACCAACGCTGCGGATGGACGGTAAGAGTAGAAGGTGTGGTTCGACTGCACATGTAACCCCCCCGCCCCCTTTTCCCTGATGCTGTGTCTGGGCCTGACCACATAGAGCTACGGCTTGCGTCGTATACAAGTGATGCGGTCTATCCGGGGATCCGGGGACCACATGTACCACTCCATCCCGGTGATACGGTTTAAACATTTTGGCCCCCAAACATTTTACACCGGATGTAATGTGTGGGGGGGTGTATTATCTTATGTCGCCCTATTGCGCTACAGTATCTGCGAGAAGTTTCCTGTTAGTGGGATCATGTTGATCAAGTAAGCTATCACAATGTATACTTTGCTATGCACATGCGTGGGTATTGTGTGAAGGGGTGTGTTATCTTGTGTACTGAGATGCAGTACGCTGCCGTACTCTCAAGGCCACCAGCAGGTGCATTCGACCAACAACGTCCCCCATTGCTCGAATTGCAACGAGCCCTTGGTGAAGGCAGAAACACAACCCTCAGCCACCGCAAGTACCAGAAAATCAAAACAGTGGCGAGGCATGATATGGCAGCATGACCCCCCCCTGAGCGCCGACATCCCGTGCCGCTTCGTCAGGAGCGAACCGCGAATTTCAAACCGCCTCGGGACTCAATTGGACTTGACGCGGCGTTCCAAAAACCAGGACAGAGCAACGCCAACAAAAGCCAACCGCCAGCGCCAGAGAATGCCATCAATGAAGTGATATTTGCAGCCACAAGCCTATTCCCGCAGGGGGAAGGCAGCTTCTGGGAATTGCAGCCACAAGGAATGGAGCATGATTGTCTGGCAAAACGCTGCGGCTGCGCAACGACAGCAGTGAGGCGCCAGCAGGCGACAGCAGACAGAGCGTCGGTATCAACCCCAGCGCCACCGCAAGCACCTAGTTGTCTCAGCTTATTGCACACGCTCCTTGTCTGTGCCTGTGTGTCTCCCTCTCTCCCCCTCTCTCTCTGACCTGCTGTTGTCCGGGCTATCAGTCTCCATCTTGTCCTCCATGAGCTGGATCGCCTCCTTGAGCTCGGCCTCCATCCCGCGGATTGTGGTGTTGGTGCTCCTCCTGATGACGCCGATCAGGGTCTTGATCGCCGCCACGGGGAGCGCCGTCTCCGGGCTGAGCTGCCGCGCGAAGTCATCCGAGATCACTTTCCTTCCCTCGTCCATGTATCCCTCGTGGTCGTTGCCCAGCTGGTGTGGTAGATATACGACCTGTGAGGGTGGAGCGAGCGGGACGAGCCCGTGCCATGAGATGCGGCGCAATTGCGTTTTTTTTTTTTTATCTGGTTCGTTTGCCACAAAGTCCGGTGCACACAAGTCTTCTTCCTTCTTCCCCTGCGCGATATAACGAGGCAAGGGGCATACCTCCCGGCGGCGAGACCATACAAAGGGACCAGTGACTAAGAGAGCACTTGGGGGTGGAAATTGCACTGGGGATCTCTCTACGTTTCTCTGCTGCAAGGTGTGTCACCAAAGGGAGGAACAAAGAGGTTGCTGTTGCTGACACGTCGGCTCTATTTTGGAGCCGGTGGCGTCTTTAGTACCCTGGTACAGCAGTAGTGGCGAAGACCTTTATCAAGGAAAGGAAATGTCCGCGGTCTGGATAGCGCTGTCAATGTCAATGGCGTAGAGGTTCATAGGCCCAGCTTGTCGTTTGATGGGGCCAGGTTAGACTGGCGTCCCATCGCGCTCTCTCTCTCGCCCTCCACAATTGGACCGAGAGGAAACAAAACCTCATGATGCGGGAATCTGTCCTTTTTATCAAAAGAGATCTTGATCCCTCACGCACCATCTTGTCACACATGAACGACGCTATTGTTGCGTACAGCGGCAGACCGTCGCCGCAGGCCTGGCCGTTGCAAATGACGTGGTAGGCTCCGCAATTTGTGCATCCCGCACGGGTCAACGAAAACGTAGGCGGCGCTCCTACATTCAAGAGAATTCTTTCTGTGGGAACAAAGGTGGAACTACTGCTGTACCTTTTTTTTTTTCGGCGAAGTCGTTGTGTCTTCTCCCCAACAGACCCACTTTTTGGACGAACCACAGCAACCAACTGCTTACATCAACGTAAGCCCACATGCAGCAAGTTTTATCCCCCCGATTATTTACTGCAAAGAAATCTTCCTGTGAGGTTATGTATATTTTCTAAAGAAATTCAACACAACCCCTTTGACTGCTGTGGTGTTATCTAGCATGGGGTTGTAGGTATATTTGAATACAAAATAACCCCCCCACTGCCAACGTCCTCCAAGGTGTTCGCTGTCTGTACCTATGGATGGAGATCCCACAAGGTTCAAACGGTAGTTGCCTGCAGGCGACCACACACGTGTAGTCTGCACAGAGAGGAGGTTTCTCCTACTGCAGTAGTTGTCTGCAGGCAATCACACTTGCGCACATGTCTCGACCAACTACTGTACATACTCCATACTGCGGCGTGTGAGAATTCAACTCTCTTACTTGATGTAGGCGAGGAAGGGGGGTGCCGGCTCATGACCACCCATGTAGCACAAGATAGAAGACGGAGCCAGTCAGCTATTTACATGCGTCTACCCGCTGAGAAGGTTTCGCGAAGATGCAATGGTTGAGCACACTACAGTAGATGGGTGTGACGCGCTTCATAGTTGGTGCCAGGGATTCCTCAGGAGTGGGCTCATGAGAGTACAGAAGCGTCATTCAAGGGGCGAGGCAAGATGGAGATGACAACAAGTACCGGGACCCGCCCACAGTGGCCAGTTGCGCCGTTTTCCAAGCTCGAGCAGCTCACGCAGCTAACAAAGCTTCACTCGAAGAGCCCAGCGAACATCGCCAAACCAAAATGACACAGCAGTTCAAAGTCTGTGTTCAGTCTTCCCATGTACGGCACGAAGAATAACAAAACGAGCTCCGCACAATGTGACGGGACGGGTCGTGGCCACCCGGCGTAACAACCAAGGGAACGACAAACCAGCAAGAAATCTTGCGTGAAGCACAGCATTATCTCGGAACGTGAAGAGCTGGTGGTATCCGTAGGAACTGTGCACTTCTCACTCTGCCTGTCTTGATGCGTGGTCAACCGCAACAAACCGGAGCCCAATCCACGTGTGGATACGCCCCCTCTCTTGTCCCGCCCGGCGATCACGCGCTCATCCCCCCCCCCCCCCCCCCCCCC